AAATTTTCAAGAGTATGTTGCAATTTGCACCTAAACCCAGTGCCTGAGGCTCAGGAGCTCAGTCAAGTTTCAGTGACTTAATATCCCATAACCTAGCCTGTACTGGAGCAGCCCATTTAGTGTCACATGTCTGGCAGGTATCAAAGTTTGTCTGATGCATGTTCACTCATTAAGCTGCAAAATGGGAACATATCTGAGCCTAAGGATTTATAAATTCTGTCAAGGTTAAAATAGTATTAAGAGCCTATGTAAGGTACCTACAGCTTTTTTTGAAGACCAACTGTTCAGTTTCTACATTTGTGTGAGACTGTAGCAAGCCTGAAAATGGGAATTAGATGCCAGAATAATTAATGTATTTTAAAAAAATCTTACCTTCTTCTGTGAAGATATTTTACTTCTACAAGACAGGAAACCAAGAAGCACAGAAATGAAGCAGCATCACCAGATATGCACTTTACCAAACATTACTTGGGTACTTCCATACCTCCTGTGCCAACTATAATTACTTGGGAGTTACTCAGGCAGGTCTAACAGCTAGAAACAGATCTCAGGAATCCTGTGCCAAAAACCACGTCATCATAATGTCACAAAGAAGGTCACAAAAAGCCTTGTTAGTTGAAAGCAAAGTTTTGTGAACTCAAACCATCATCAGACCTAAATCATTACTTTTATTCCAAAAAGCAGAACTATAGAGAGGGAAAGTCACCAGCACAGCATAAATCATCTTGCCTGGAAGAAAATATTTGGAGACTGTTTTTTCAAGATCTTATCAGATGATCTAGGACCAAAGCCAGACAGAAGTTTCACTGTTATGTTTCTGTAAAGATGAACCCTTAGCCAGGTCAGATATCTCAGTCTCTCTTTTCTCCTCTGTGCTAAGATTTGTGATAAGCCATTTCCTCACAACAGCCAGGCAGTAACTGTCCTGCCCTAAAGGGCTTATAAGTGAGTGTTAACTAAAAGACAAAGGGAACCAAGTGAGGAGATGCTGGGTAAAGACACAAAAAAGTTAAACATTGTATAAAAAAAGCAAAGTTAATTTTATTTTGATACCAGTTAAATGTTATTAGAAGAGTTAAGGAGCACACATACTGGCAGTTGTTAGAACTGCAGTACAAGCCTCAGAGGTTCAATTTTCTGAGTGGCTACAGCTGTACCACCTTCTAAATCCTTGGGTTGCGATTTATTCATGGCATTAGGAATGCAAAATGCAAGCAGAGGGAAGTAGGCCAACAAGAGTATAGAAAATAGGGACACAGAGGAACCATTCCAGCTGAAAACAGGTTGAAATTATTAACTCTTTCAAAGCAAGCTCTCTCTGAAAAAGCAACACTGCCTGATGCATAAAAATGTACAGATGAGTCCCCCCCTCACAACATAGAATCATGATTAACAGAAATACAAAGCAAACATGGCTTCAGAAAAAGAATTCAGCTTAACTCTAAGCTGAGCCGTTTGCATTTGCAGATGCATAATGCTCAGGCCAATGTGTCTTGACCATTTTTAATGGTTTTGGTTCTGTCAGCTGTGGACCAGACATTCAGCTCCTACAACTCAACACAGATCCATAGGAAATTAGTGGAGCTATGCCTGCTTACCCTGGCCCTGTACTTTGAAATTCTGCCTAATACTCAGAGATTTTTCTAAATGGAAGTGCCTCACCTTTTAGAAACATCCAAACAGGCTAGTAGATATTTTGCAGCTTGTCTTTGAGCTGAAACGACCACTGCTGTGGCCTGCTTGTAATACTATAAAACCCCTGAATCAAAAGCACATAGAAGACTCCCAAGGCAGCAGGCCAGACAGGAATTGGAGCATGTAAAATAACTTTTACTTATGAGGAGATGGGACACAGACCAGTATTCCCCAAGATCAACTGACACTAAAAATTTGGACCTGGAACAGCATCCTCTAGAAAGGGAAAAAACAAACAAACCAAACAAAAAAAAACACCACCAAACAGAATACAAACCAACAAAAAACCACACTTGAAAATAGATCCAGCTAGCATGAAAATATGCACTTCCTTTCTAGTGAAGCATGTTGATTATAATCCCCTCAGGGGGAAGTTGCAGGCCTGACCTGAACTTAAATATTCTGGGGCACCAGCTGACAACACGAACATTAGCCTTGAATGAACTTTTCATCCTGCAGTGTTCCTATCAAATAGTACAAACCAGTTGTTTCTGCTGTTTTCATGAAGAACACATACAGGCAGCACCCCACCATGGGCAGAAACAGGCACTAGAGGCAAATCACTGATTTGTCACTTACTAGGAAATGGATGGGTCTCAGCTGTTTCCATTTCAGACCTCAGAGCAGATGCTGTGGTCAGCCAAGTCTGTAAGCATATGCTCACAATAGAAAATGGTCTACAAAATTTACCACGTGGTGGAAAGGGCAGGAGGAAATAGAAAAGGAGTATGTACAGCAGCACATGCCTCCCTAAAAAGACTATTCTTCTATTCAAGTGGAATGTTAGTCTACTAAGTCAGGTATTTAGAGGAAAAAAAAAAAAAGATTAAAAAAAAGTCCAGATGTGAAAGACAAGAACTTCTAAGGTATACAAAGAGGGTAATGGTCATCTCAAGTGCCCAGTAATACTAGGTACCTCATTGCTGCCTGCAAAGGATTTTTAAATGCCATCTTGAACCAAAGCAGCTAACATTAAGGAAACATTATCTGCTGTGTTACTTTATTTCTGCACCTCTAAGCATCCAGCACCTGAAGACAGAATTGTACACAATTTGTTTAAAGATTTTAACAAAAGGTGTAATAAGAGACCTGTGATGCTGTAAGAACCATCATGATTCTGTTTTCTCAGCCAAACACTAACCTCAAGGGAAAACTGCTCTCATGGACCAATAACTACACAACATTCAGTACATCCTAAAGGATTCTGCTATAAGCCTCTTTACATACATTTACATACATCACACGTGCTCTTAATAATCTAGGTGCCTTTCACAACTGAAATAAAGCCTCTGGCAGCACGTTCCAGCACTCGCTCCTCCTTCCATGTAAACTCCAGACAGCATCCAGGTAACATGAAGTCTCTCTTCCTAGCTGTAACTAAATGCTTCTTTGAGATGTTCTGTATTTGCTACTTGCCCTGCAGAAGGCCCTGCCTGCCATACACAGATCTGTAACTGGGTCTAGGTCTTCACCTCATTTTCCTAGTGCTGTAAATCCCTCCAGCCCTATTTGTATACAGAATCCCAATGCAGCAAATGGAAGTACAAACGTGATCAACATCTGAAGACAATTGTAAGGTGTAAGGATGAAAGCTAAGGATCAAGCTGTCCTTAAGGAAATAAGTGCTAGTATTTCCAATACTTTTATGAAAGTAGCTTGATAGAACAATTATAAAACCAACTATGGATCTACAGATGTTTCCTTCTTAGGTCCTTAGTTGAAACCTTTAAGGATTCAACAAACAAGCAAGCAGGTAACACTATGATAGGGGTTGCCTGACAGTGGTGTTGGGATGTTCCTCAGCCAACAAGCTGAACTGGTCCAAGACAACAGTACCAGCCTTTAAAGGAGATAACTGGTTATACGTTAGGGTCACATCTTGAAACATGTCATCTTGGAGGAATACGTAATTTGTAGAGTTTCCCTTGCTGAAAAAATATAATCAGGATTTTTGAAGATCTATTTCTCTTGACAAAAATTATCAAGCAGCACTTACACTAGCTGGAATAAGACAGCCAGATGAGAAACTGCAATACTTTAAAGAGATATCTCTGCAAGTCTCTCTCTTTCAAAGTCTTCAGTGAAATATTTTCTTATTCTCTGGAGAGAACATATATACCCACATATAAACATATGATACTAGATAATTTGAGACAAGTATCGTACTCAGCCTAGAGCCAGGTTGATTTTTAGAGGATGAAGAATAGGATCCTTAGTGGCTCTGGAGTCACTCTCAAGACTGATTCCTTTACTAGATCAAAGTGCAGATTCACAATGCAAGATTTATTACACCCTGACCCATCTTTTAAGTGGTTACAACCAAGTTTTACAGCAGTGAAAATAAGTCCACTCAAATTTTGGAGACCTGAGTTCAGCTGCTCACAGCTTCTACTCTGTGTTGAAACAAAATGACAGGAAAAGAGAAGTTTTGCGTCAGAGTTCCTTAAAAATGGCATGTTGGCAACATTTCACATAGTATAAATTACATATATGTACATGTATAATATACAACCTGTACAGAACTAAAAACACAAAAAGTTAAGCTACATTTGCACTTGTCTACAGAAAGTAGTGAGCTGGTGGCAATGTTCTTCAAGTGCTCAGTTCACCAATAAACCATCAAGTGAGCACCAAGTTTTCCAGCTGCATTAGAAGAACATCGTAAGAAATGTTAGTGAAAAGTTTCATTTGGAATACTCATAATGAAAATGAAGTTCAGAAAGGTCAGTTTTTTAGAAGCTTTTATAAGGTAGTACATACACAGTACAACAGGGACTTGAGGAACTCGCAGTGCTCCAGCCCAGTACTTCAACAGTATCCCTGCAAGGCTGACTAAACTGCTTCTCATCCCCACTGCCAAGGAAAGCAGGGCAGGCCGGTGACCAGCACTGCTTACACATGAGGAAGTGCTGCTCAGCACAGTTTTGAGATGGAAAATGTGGGTTTGGTTGGGGTTTTTTTTGGTTTTTTTTTTTTTTTTTTCCCCCTCAATCAAAGCAGACACTCCCAACAGATAAAAATGAGGATGAAATTGTGGGTGATATGTAACATATGCTCAGCAGCTTCAGATCAGAGTTCAGCAGCCAAGAGGAGGTTGTTTTAGTGAACCAAGCAGGCAAGAGGAGGCTGTTTTAGTGAACCAAGCCAGCCTAAGCATTCCTTCTGTGTCTTCGCTTCCCCAAAATAAATGTCTATACAAAAATGCAGACAAGGGCAATTGCTGTTTCTTTCCTCTGAGGAAGAATTAGTGACAGTCTACTGCTTTCCTGCTCCAGATGATAAAATGGCTTCAGTGAGTCCTAGAGTCACACTTGCACATTCTTCCCTTTATTGAGAGGGCCCTGGGAAACTCGATTGATGCTGCTTTCAGTGAAGAGCTTCAGGCCCTTTAAACCTTGTGCGTAGAGATATTCCAGATACCAGTTCCACTTCCTTCCCTATAACATCAGAAAGAACAGTCACTTGTGCAGGACATACCACTGCCTCTTTCTCAGGCAAATATGAAAAGGTCTACAAATATTAACTTCTACAGTTTGACAACATCTGCCCTAGTCTGCAAATACCCACAGAAATACAGGGTCACATCTTGTTCCTAAATGCCCAAACTTTTCACTTATGTATTACACATTCTTAGCTTGAACATGACAAAACATAGGGTTTTTTCAATACCAAAGATGTTTATAAAATTCCCAGTTCTTAAAAGAGCAAACTCTATGGAATCAATAGTGAAGATGTCAGTAACCAAATGAACGTGGATATTGAAGCCTTGTTTCCATCACTAATGGGGATTCCTCCAGATCAGGTTTCAAGTACAACATTATACAGTAAAGGATACAGTAAAGTACTGCCACTGTACTTGGTCCATGGAGGATCCCTGTTCAAAGCTATAACAAAGCTACACATCCATCCAGTTAAGTTCATTGAGAACAGAAGCTCTACTTCAAATACACCAAAACCATAACTTTTCCTGGAGCCTGTAGAGAACAGTAAACACCTTTGTCCTGATACTGCACTGACTTATAGAGGAAATTTGTATACAAATCTCAGACCATGACCCACAGATGGCTAGATATGCAAGTTTTCAGATGTTGATGTCCTTATGTTTGGCCTTGGTAAGAGACTGAACAAAAGTCTACAGCTGGAATTTTCCTCTTTTAAAACTTCCATAGTGCATTTGTGGAATTCACAAAGATTATCACCTCATCCTCTTCTACATAGCTACTGAAAATTGTCTGTATTCACTTCACTAAACCAAAAAATCTTACCTTAATTAAACTGAAGTTCAAGGTGGTATCATCTGGGCAAGCCTTAAGGAAAGGAAATAAACAGTATCAAGTCAGATATAAAGTATGTCCATAGCTCCTGGGTGTCTGTTTAGTTCCCTCCTAAATCAGGAATTGCCGGTGTGCAGTAAAAGTCTCTGAATTTCTAATTATGCTCCGGAATGGGCTTCCAGCATCATACCGTGTCCACAAGTGCCAAGGAAACATGGAGACTGTCTTGCCCCATGCTGCAGCATTACTGGATAGCAACAGGGATATATAGGTATCTTTAACCACTGTCCCTCTACAGTGTAAAAGCTACCCCTTCAAATCATTAGGTAGGTAATTCCGAACAATGAGAAAGAGCAAGAGGAGAGAACCTAATGACATTTAGATTACTGCTTGTGTTCTCCAAGGGTGCTGCAGAGCAGTGCCCTCAGAAGATGGCACTGCAGCTAATTATTTTTTCCTGTGTTAAGACATCTGTGATGGCTGCTATCACAAAAATAACCTGATTTTTCAGAGCAGCATGCAAATCTTGGAACAGTAACAACTTGGGCAAGCCGTTCTGCTATTAAGTAGCTGCACTGAACATGATAGCACCCAGAATTCAGCACTACTAGCAGAACTCCTATCAGACAATACAGGATGGCACCTTACTTCCCTACTTGAAGTAGCTACTTGCATTTTTTTTTTAATAAGCCAATCTCAAAAGCCACTGCAAGAGCCAGAAAGCACTGCTAAAAAGTTCCACTGTGCATACCTGTATGTAATTTAACTATGTATTTCTTGTCTTCCTGGAATTCAAATGTTTAAGTCACGCTCCATATTTTGTGGGGCATGACACACTACTGGGAAGCTTTTAGTGAACTGGTAATTTATTTCATTATTTAGCTATTTTAGCTCTATCCCTCAAAATTATCATAAGCACAGTTTCACACCTAAAACTATTACATTCATGCTTTCATATCATACCAATGATGAGTATTCAAACTGTGCCACTGACTGGACAAGCACAGAATGCCATACCAGCTTCTGAAAGCTCTGGTGACTCTGAGTCAGCCAGTATATGGAGAGACACCCCCACAGACAAGAACATGTGATGCTGCCAAAGGATACATTGTTGGCCTACACCATTACCTGCTGCAAGAAACGGACAGCATAGCCCATCATGGCTGGGTGGTAGACAATGTTAAAGCTGGTTTTGAAGTCCTGCACTGTGGTTTTCTTCAGCAGTTCATCATCCATACAAAGACCTTGAGGGTGAATATCCTTCTGGAAGGCACTGGATGTCCACAGACAACCTACCATAGCTATTATGTACTGATTGTACTCTTGGTACGTCTGGCTACTGAACTTGAATTGCAGTATTTTCTGAGAGAGAAGAAAATAAATCAGTAAATGGCACCCTCAAAGCAGTTGTGTGCTCCCCTCCAGTCCTTAAAAGAATGCCATCAGAACATCTCCCCTCCATTCAACCCAACTCCTTGCTAAGGACTGTTCCAGCACAGAGAAGATTTATCCACAATACCTTTTTAGTCAGTTCATTTTCTTTTGCAGCCACCATGTTGGCTCGATATCTGAAAAAAAAAAAAAAAAAAGGTTAAAGGCCTGTAAATTTTTATAACGTACCCGTGTTGAAAAAGCCAAAGGGGTAAATTAAGAAAGCTTACTTCCTCCACAAGAGATATCATCAAGCTATACTGGTAAAAAAGAAGAGACATGAAAAAGAATTCAAAGGGACTTTATCACTTGGCATAGATCCACCCTTTCCAGGCAGAGTAGGGAGACAACCAATAATATTAATCTCTTAAGTTATTAAGACATGATCACTTTGCCAGGGCAGTCACCTTCATAAAGGCAAGACACAAGAACTGACATACAGCCTTAAATTCAGCAGAAATACGGAGTGTATTTTTAAGGGAGACTTTCATTTACTAAGCAGAGAAGCAGAAGCCACTGGAAGTAATGCAACTTGACAGTTCTATATAATAAGCACTAGCTCCTCTTATTTCCCAGAGACCATCCTGTCACATTAATTACCCTGCAGATTCCTTAGAGAACAAGCCACATGGAGAGCCCTGCGCCAGCTGTCGGCAATTGGCCACTCTCTCTCAGATGCAGCCATTGGAACTAACAAGGCCAAGAACAGCAGCCATGTTGGTGGATCCTGCAGAGAGCTAAAAAGTGCTGTCTTCCAACCTGCAGGCAGCACGAGGCAGTCCCAAATTCTCACAGAGTTTGGAGGTGGCAGAAGTACTTCCTACTCTGCACATTACAGAATATGTAAGAAAAAGATCAAGTCTAGGGGTCAAAGCACAGGAGTGAAGCTACATCACTAACTAGTGGCAATTCCAACTTGCTGGTTTAAAATTCCCTTAAAGCAATATAGGAACTGCTTCCTTCAAATATCAAAGATATGGAAATAATGATAGGAAAGAGGTCAGAATCCTGCAATTCTGGATAACAGACTGAAACAAAGAGTAGGAACTAGAGCTATAAAATCCTGTATCGTGAAAGCTGCGCACAGCTGGAACTTTCACCTTTGCCTTGCATGGTAAGAAAAGGTAGACAGATTTTACACCAACATAATTTCATTTCCAAAAGAGTGAGAGAGAAGACAAGGAGTTCCCACAGGCCACACCATTTGCAGTACCTGTACATAATGTAGCAGAGCTGATTCAAGTTGACAGAATCCATGCTGAGAAGCGCAGGGTAGAAAACTCCAGCAGGAGGCATTATCAGCAAAGGCAGATTGTACCTCAGATACATGTCACACACCTGCAGGAATGAAGCAAATCCAGGCAGGTTATTCCTGCCATTAACAAGGGTAACAGCAGTAATAATTTTCTCTAAGAGCAAAAGAGAGCATGACACTGCATTCCAGGCAGCTCTATCAACTTCATCTAAGGGCAAAAGCCCATGTGAAACAATTCCATTTGTTTCCTTCTCAGTATGAAACATATTTATCAGGTCACATCTCAGCCTCTGTTTCAACCATTTAACCATGCCAAAACACATAGTATGCTTAACACCCAAGTCACATCTACACAGATCCCTGTAAAAAAGCAGCTAACATTTTTTTCTGATCTTTTAGATCATTCCAATACATGTAAGCTGGAATGGCACTAGACCTGATCTTATTCCTAGCCTGGTTTGCTGATACCAGCAAGCCAAACAGACCACACACCTCTTCCAGTTGGGGTATTAAATCTTTCTATTTGACCGTGCTGGGATTGCATGAATAAAGCTTTGCTCTAAGAGAAGGCAATATGGCCTCAAAGTATGGGTTTATTATCAGACTCAAGTATAGAATTTAAGGTTGAGTTTCAAATGAAAAAGACAGTCTAAAATTTCCACAGATTTAACAAGATTTTCAGCTATAATGACAGTATAAGATTAATAAATAACTGAAAGCAATACTGCTGGAATTTAACACATTACTGTCCTCTGTCACTTAGTCACAGTGACTAATCCCAAGGTATTGCTCCTGGGTTGCTCTTCAGGAAGGTATGCATCATTCTCAGAAGAAGAGTGTTTTAAAAATGTGTATATCTAGTTACCACAGCTCAGACCACCAACAATTAAGCTGTGACAGTCTACCATCACACAACCAGGCAAGAAAGACCCTCCTGATTGGTTTTCACCCAGGGTCTGGCCAGCCTTGGGTGGAGTGATTAGGAGATCACCATCAGGTGCCCCCACCTTCCACATTAACCTGGAGGTTGGACAAGAAGCCCTCTCTGGAAGAGCTGACTCTGCTTGCAGTGGGGTTGGAGAGACTTGTGTACACAGTGGGTGTGCTGTGTGGGGACTGGTTACTGAAAGGGCTCCCTGACTCTTTATAGCAAGTGGAGTTCCCAGGATGGTGGGGCAAGATCATGAGTCTCTCTTTGGGAACTACTATATAACTGGACTTACTGCCTGGCTGATTCCATCTCCCACGGCATGATTCCTGATTCAGCTCACTCCCTTCACATCCACTGCAGTGGGTGAGTGCACTGACTTGTTCCTCTCTCTGTCTGGCACCTTGGGTCTCTGGTGTGTGATGTGGTACTGGAGGGAGGAGTTTGGCTGCTGGTGTGCCCATTAATGATAACACTCTATATCTGGCAAGTGGTCAGCAGAAGATCCCATAAAATGAGCATTTACTTATTTTACATGCAGCCTCTATGCAAATGTGGTTGCCCATTAGTTTGTGTGTTTTTAATAGACGTTTTGGTTAAAATTGGATCCCCTAACAATTACAGTTTTTTAATCTCTTCAAAATTTTATCCAAATTGTAGGAGCAACAACAGCATAGCTGGAGTTCACATGGCAGTAAGCACATCTACAGAGAGGACCTAAAGAAGCCAAAGAATAGGCTTAACCATATTTGATGCTCCTTAGTTCATCTACAGGACAAACTGGGAGAAATTAATTTTTTTTCCAGCAAACATTTAAGGGGGAAAAAAAAAAAAAATCAGGCTATGTTGTTTGAAATAGAACAGCACATTGTTCTTGTCTGTTTTTTTTCTAAAAAATTAGCATTAAAAAAAGCAAGTTATGCTATATTGCTACTTGCCCTTCCACACTTTGCCTCTGACTTAAGAGCAACCACTTTCTAGCACCATACTTAGCTCTGCCTATGAATAGAACAGCACCAGCTATCAACTGTAGATTGACCAAGTATTTGGAACATTCTTTCATCAAAAATTTCTGAAAACTACAACGAGGAAGGTGTTCTCATGCCCTAGCTTAAAAAATGCAAACAGCCTTAGAGTATTGGGATTTTAAAAACCAAAATGAATGGGATACATACAGTCTCATAGAAATTCAGGATGAAGTGCAGCAAGAAAGTAGAATTCTTTTCCAAACGCAGTGCAACAGTAGAGATCCTTCCCACAAAGCGGATCAGATCAGCCACCACATTCACTACTCCAGAGAAGGTGGTATTCCTGCAGCAACGACAACACAACATCAGTATATACACCTCTGTGCACACAGCAAAAAAGAAGTGATAAACTATAGTTTATCTTTCTGCCTCACCAAGCATTCAACAACACACATTTGTCTGTCAATACACCCTGTAACATATTGTTACGAATGTTATCGCAAACAAGACCCAGCTGTTGATGTCCAGAAGTCAAAATCCTTTTAACATTTACAGTGTGAACAGAAATAGTTTTAAAGAAAGGTAACAGGATTAAGGTAGCTTATAATAGAGCAGAAACATTTTGACATTATGACCTTCTAGTCAGTCTTTATGCTAAGTAACAGGGCTAGAGTATATATTTAAATACACTATTGGACAATGCACAGAACACTGTATTGCATTTATTCCAGATAAACTTACAAAGGATGGTCTTGAGAGTCAGACTCTGGATCCATATGAATCACATTCCAATTTAACCAGTTCTGCAACAGCTCTTTCAGGCTCTCAAGAACACTGCACTGAAGGAGGCAAAAAGAAGACAGATTGATGACAATTTACATAATCAAATAATACTATGTAAAAATTCCATGAGAAATATACAAAGATAGATATAAAATGTTTCTCAAGACCACAAAGAGCAGTGAGATAACTGCATGCTCCCTTGCATTGAATGTACATATTACATAGTATTTGAAACTCACATTCTCCAGGAAAAGCTGAGTTAAAACTGCAATAAAACAAATTGTGTTGTGTACTATCAGTTTGTTTTATTTCCACTGCCCCAGTTTAATTCCAGTCTAAAAAGACTATCTTAAAGGCACTCAAATTCCCAAAGTTATGTTATAATTATGTATTTTACCTTCATTTGTGCACAGACTACACCAAGTCCTTTATACAATCCCTGAGGCTGCTACACCTGACAAATGCAGACAATATCAACTAAAAGTAAACAGCCACTGTGATGATTCATTTACCTTGAAGTATAGGGATGATGTGAAAAATAGCTGTGCCAGGGGATCATAGAGATGCACCTTCATTTCTGTAACAAATGAGAAATCAGTATACCTGCACAAATTCTAGATCAGCCACTGTCCAGCCTCACCCAAAGGATCTGCAATACGCACCAGAAAAGTTGCTGAGGGGTATCCAACTCAGAAGCCTGAGGATTTGTGATCGGCAACAGACACCATCCCAGAGAGGAAGGCTCTTATACAGGAATTCTTCACATGATGTAAATCCCTCCTACAAAGCAAAAGATGAACATTCAAAAACTCATCTCATACACCTGCACCTTGCCATTCTCACTTCACCTTGGAGAAAACAAAAAAAAAAAAAAGGCTTACACCTCCCTCCTGCCATACAAATTCACCACAACATTTAAATTATCATTCTCAACATGAGGCCATCTCCAGAACAGTGACTTGTTACAGGAATATATATTTTTATTACCTGAGACAATGTCACTTCTCAGAGATACTACAAGAAAAGGGTAAGTCCCAAAAGTACTTTAAGGGAAGACTTTATGAAACTGTTTCCACAAAACAGGCACTTACCTGCAAGAAACATTCTGTCTTGTAGACAGTTTCCAAGAAGTCTTTGAATTCTTCTTCATATTGGTTATTATCAGCCACACACCAGGTGCATTCTAAATGGGAGAGAATACTGTATTTGAATGTGCTTACTCTTGCTGTGCTCATAATCACAGAAACAAAATTAAGTTCTTCAGTAGGGTTGGGGTTTTTTTTGGTTTTTTTTTTTTTTTTTTTTTTGTGGTTTTTTTGTTTGTTTGCTTGTTTTTTGTTTTTTTAACACTTTGTGATTATCACCATAAATCTGAACAGCAAAGTATTATTATTGAAAGACAAAAAGCCTTGGACATCCTTTATTGCCCTACCATGCAAAGTAATATTAAGTTCCTACCTTCCTGAAGAGTGTGGCCCATCCAATAGTAGAGTCTCAGGCAAATAGGTTCATCTTTGATGCAATTGATGTAGTGAAGCAATAAAGGGCTTGTTAGGACTGAACCCATTTGGGAAGGAAACTGCAAGAGAAATCAAGAACAAACAAGTTATTCAGTATTCATATCAGCAAACTGCCAAAGAATTTCATTGTATAAGACTTGTCCAATCCTTCTACTGGCAACAAGACCATCTTCAAGACTCATTGACCACCCTCAGGTAGGACTAGATGTACTATTACAACTAGGTAGCCCACACACCATTCACATATAAACGGGGCACAGAGGAATATCCTATGATTGCTCAAAACATTCAATGAGCTTACAAAGACATTACTGAAACTCACCTCTAGATGGTGAATATTTTGTAGGAGCTGAGAAAAGGTCTGTAGCTGCTCCACTGGAACAGATTCATTTGCACTGCACAAATCAACATGGGTCTTTTCCCTGTCCTCTTCAAAATTATTTTTGTTTGTTCTCCTTGCAGGTATCATCAGCTGAGTATTCCATTTCTGTAGAAAAGAAACAAATGGAGAGCAATGACTGGTTCCAACGCAGTCAAGTGCACTTGCAACCAGTGTTCCCATAAAGACCTTGCTTTGCAAAGAAGGTACCCAGGCTTTCATGGTAACAGGAATGCTGTTTCTGTATAGCTACTCCAATCTCCACCGTGCTGAAACAAAGCCTGACTCCCATTATTTGCCTATATTGATAATGAAACAGCTGCTTGGCACTGTCTAGGGTCTCTCTCAGGCCCACAACCTACCCTTTTTCGTGACTGAGGTTGAGCTTGAGCTGTTCCTAAAAACAGTGTCTGGGAGACTGGAGAGTTTTGCTGGTTTCTTTGCCTTACTGTATGCATTGCTGCTTTCCACGGGCCCTCTGAATTCTTGAAGTAAGTCTGAAAGCATAAATCAGATATCTATGCAAGTAGCCAAACTAAGACAAAGTGACAGAAAGATCAGTTTCTATTCTGGCAAACATCAGCAGTGATGTGTATATACTCAGTTCTGCTGACAGACCAAGGTGCTAGGTTTTCACAATACAGAACTCTCATCATTTCTCAGTTTCAACAGTTATGCTTTTATTTTCTCTTCAAGTTCTGTCCCCTCCTTCAGAAGAGATCTTCAACATTTCTGGTTTATAATCCTCTCTCAGATCAATCATCAATTCATAGAGTAAACCCCAAGCATACATTCAAATAAACTATGACCAAGGTATGCTTATGGTAGCTACTAGGAAAGCTCTGAATTCAGCCTAAGTGACATCCACCAAACAGAACAATCCAATGAATAATCAAATTATTAAATAAGTATAGTCACTACAGCTAAAAAGAAAACTGGAAAAATGAACACTACATTTTCAGACTTATTTTGTTACATATTCAGTTTCTACTACACATATTCTACTTAGTCAAAGGGCTAAGTATACACATAGGCCTCTCTAAAAGCAGTCATTTTTTGCTATTACCATGAGGCTCTGAGAAATCAGCTTACTGCATTTTTTTCCTCCACTTTTTTTTTTTCCCCTCTTTACTATGACACAGACTTTCCAAGTGGGAAGTTATTTACTGACTTCCATTGTTATTTGTACTCGAGAAAGTCAGCAATCTGGACAATGCCTTGTACAAACAGGAGTTTGTTTCCTAAGAACTTAACATTTCGTGAAACAGGTCAAAGTAAGAACACCAAAAGGAGGAGTAAATCAATCCTCAAAAGGATAAAGGTAGAGGCTATTCCATTCCAAATTATCTCATTGTGCTGAAGAGGAAACAAAACGCAAGGCAAGGAATCCTCATCTAAATCTGATTTTACTCAGTGAAAAAAAGAAATAGAATTAGTCTTCACTGCTAAACGGTGCTACAACTTAAATGAAAAGCTTGATACAAAACTGTTGTAAGCACCCATCCCAAATAGATTAAACCTTATTTCTTACCTTCATTTTCCCAGGAAGGGTTATGGCCACCAGTTCAGGACAAAAGAGTTTGTAAAGTGATAGTAGAGCCTGCAGATGAGACTGCATTCCCTGTCAAATAGCACAACAAAAGGAAAAACATGAAGGGTATGTTTTTAATATAGAAACTGAATACATATTCTAGAAGCAAAGAAAAAAACCCAGTGATTATTAAAAGCTTTCTAAAGCTACATGTCAGTAAGTAACCATAGATGAACAACTGAAAATGGAAGAACAGGAACTGTGTCAATAAAACACCACAGAAAGGGTACTGAAAAAGGAACTTTTAGTCATAACTCTAATAAAAAAATAATTTAACAATGAAAACTATGAAAAATACAATCTTCTGTTGTCTAAATGTTCCAAAACCATGTTATTATAGCTATTTTTTTCTTACAAAAAAAGGAAGCATGATGCTCTACAATCTTATATTTCTCAGTCATTTTTGCTATCACTTGAAAAAGGATGATGAACAGAAAATTAAAGATGCTAATAAGTAAATGAAGCTGCCCCTTGCTTCAGGGATTTTTTACCACACCTATACATACAATATATAGCTTTGTGCATGTTGTTGTGTGTGCTCACAAAACACATATGAAATTTAAGCACACGTGTGCAAGATGGACAAGGCCCTGATGCTACAGAAGACTACAAGCCACAACTCTGAGTCTAGCCCTGTCGTGAAACACTAGCTACTTCTCCTTCCTGTTAAGGCATTAGCTTTACAGACTACATTATTCAGTTATACACAATTCAAACCCTACAAGATTTGAAATAAACTTACCATTTTTGCTTGGAGGTCAAGCAGTCTCCTAATCCGAAAAGGCTTGACTGGAAATACAATTAAGAACATAATGGATTTAAAAACCACTGTATCAGACATACAAGCAAAAATGCAGTATCACTTTTATTATAGAAAGTCACAGCAAAGCAAGCAGAACCAATCAGTCTTAATTCTAGACTAACAGACAAGTCTGCAGTTCAGAAAGCTTTACACAAATCAGGCTGAACTCCTTGCCTTAAAAGCAATATGTTAGCTTGTCATTGTATTACTTCATTGGAAAAGCAATGGCAGTGCCAGCAGATGGAATAAGAAACAAAATGATATTCCATCTCATCCAGTTGGATGGACTCACCACTTTCTTTCCTCGTCAGCAGGTAGAGCAGGTGGCAGACATAGGGACACTGCAAAGAAAAGGCAGCAATGTACTATCCCACTGGTGCAGACTAACTAGGTTAACACTAAAAGCCACACACAGGCTTCACAAGCTAATATTGTTCCATTCAGCTAGCTGCCTCAGGCATCACTGCGTCCCCACGGGGCCAGGGCACACCTGACCTCCCCTAGGAAGCACTATGCTTTTTACATGTCACATATATGAATTTTAGAAACACTGTCAGCATTATTAGCAGTCCTTACAGCCATTCAGTGAGCTTGAATATTGGGGTTTTTTGGAACATGGTGCAGATAATTCATGAGTCTGCAGTAGAAGTGTAATTACATTTTCAAAAAGAAAGGCACCTTTGAATCAAGACAATTTATCAGAGCTTCTAACTATAGCTGAGTTTGTAAGGATCTTAAATTAGTTTCACACCAACTCTGGTGCACTTTCCAACAGGTCCACCATGCCTGAAGATGCTATTTTAAACAGTAAGAAATACAGTTTTATGAAAATATTCTAGCTAGTATTAACTTAAAACCTTCAAAAACTTCGCAAGACATAACTCAGAAATTTCGGAACTTCAAGTGACTTAACCACAAAATATCCTAAACTGAAAAAATATTAACAATTTCCTATCTGCCTAACATAATTGTCAAGATCATCTTAATATGAATTGAATCTACACACTTTAATATTCCAGCACCTGGATTTTAGAGTTGCCATATAGCAGAAATCTCTTGATTACTTGTTCGCATTTAATTTCAAATCAATTAAGTAGAACATAATTTAGAGTTTCTCACCTTTAAATAAACATTACTCTAAAAGATTTTTTTCCCCCCTTTAAGCCCAAGGCATCTAAGTCAGTTTCTCCCCAGGAGCAGGCAACTTCACCTGCTGATGTCTGACATGAAAGGCAATCCCAAAGGCTGCAGCATCATTGGGAATTTAGACAGAAAACACTGACAACTCCATTTCTGATGCAGAATAGAAATTCTTGGGAACATGTTTAAATAACCCCACCACAGCATTGAAACTAAAATAGTCCTACAGCACTTCCCAGTTTCTGAATCTAAATTACTCAGTAATCTTAGAATGCAAAATGGAAAAATAAATTCCAGCCATCAGAAAATGGTCTCCACTCAACAGCTACTCTGTACTAATTCTTGCATTACTATGCATGCTACTAAGTTAAGTTTATTTTGTCACTTCCATATATTCTTCAGTTCTCCTTACCATCTTCTCGTCTTGCAAAAATGAAAAGAAGAAACCATACAGAGCATGAAGTTTCTCCTTGTGATCAATGAAGTCAAACATTGTTATCAGCCATCTTACAAAAAGCAGCTGCAGATAAGAAAGAAGCCATATTACATTAAGTGATGGGCAAAAGCAAGACAGACCAGTCACTAGCCAATTTAAGAGACACAATCATTAAGGATATATGCCACTCTCAAGGACAACCAGACAGCAATAGATGAACAGTACAGCAATAATTCAGCTGTGGAAGAAAGCCTGCCAAAAGCACCAGCTCATGTATCACACTGGGAAAAGCAGCTCAGTCCTCAATATGTGCTAACCCTCACATATGATCTGAGGGTCCCTCACTACAAAAAAAAGACACTGAGGTGCTGGAGCATGTCCAAACAAGGGCAACAAAAGGTAAAGGGTCTGCAGAACAAATCTTATGAAAAACAGCTGAGGGAACTGGAGTTGTTTAGTCTGGAGAAAAGGAAGCTCAATGGAGACCTCACTGCTTTTTACAACTACCTGAGACTGCAGTGAGGTGGGGGTTGGTCTGTTCTCTCAATTAGTAGAGGCCATCCCCTCTCATCCTATCACAAGTTGCATCACGAGATGTTTAGGTTGGATATTAGGAAAAATTTCTTCAGTGAAAGGGCTGTGAAAGTCTTTTCCTTAAACGACTATGATGTAAACCTTTGAGTAGACTACGTGAAGACAAAAAATAATGTTTTGATAATGTTATGTAGTGTTGCCTCAGCCAAGGTACACAAAACCTAAGGGATACCTTGCTGAAGTTGGTGGAGAATGCCTTACATAGCTCAAATATGTCACAGAAAAGTTGGTGGAAAAACCATTCCTAAGGAATTAATAGATACAAGACAAGCAGGAACTGTGCAAATTTCCACTCATATTTAAAAAGTATTCATGGGTTTTCACTGCCATCCCAGCAATGGGCATCTGTGCCAATCTTTCTAAATGACAATATATTATCCAAGAAACATGGTACATGAAAACCTCTGGATTATTTCCTTCCTGAAAATCATCTGTCCTCTCATCATTCCTGTGCAGAAGCAATAACCACTGTAAACATTTACTAAGTTACCTGGATGTTGCCTGAGCATTTGCCAACACAGAGCCAAGATACAGCTGAAACCACACAAGATTCTGGTATTTCTGAGGCTGGAATCAGGCTCTTCAGTAAACGAGTATTCACTGTATCAGCTGGAAAACAAACAAAATAAGATGGTACCATGTTCATGTACCAGGTTCTTTGGTACATTTTAGCAGCTTAGGTCAAAACTCCCTCCAGACAAGATTATTCAGAGCTTCATTTCTTAAAGTAACAATGCACAAGAATCTAGCAGAGACTTAACTATGTGGCAAAAAGTTATGAGAAATATTTCTGTCCAGCTTAATGAAAGAAAATAGAATATCAAGTATTTTAGTACTGAAAGAGCCTTTAGACTTTTGGCAAGACCATCAAAAGCAACACAAATTTCTACTGTTAAACAACCAATTCCTTCAGCAAGAGTATATGACTGACAAGCAATCAAACACAAGCAGGTTAGCATTCTGGAGATAAGAAGTGTTCTGGTACTTTTAAATCAAGAAAGACACTAAACTACTTGCATAACAGGGAAAGAATCCTGTGTGCTTCTGTTAGACTGGAGGAAATGGAAAGTTTATGTTTTTTTTCATTTAATATTTCTTTAGGAGCATAAATGGTGGCCACCATTTCTAGGAGCAGCATGAGGGCTGCACTGGCACCACCAAACTGATTGTTTGGACGGTGTTTTCGTTTTACCTAGTTCCACCACTAGAACTATGTCAGTTTGTTCATTATTTTGATCTTGGGGAAAAGTGACCTACAACAGTCACAACAAGAAGACACAATAAGGACACACTTTAAGCCTCTCAGAGGCCTGCAATTCTGAACAAAGGAAAAAATCTTTTCCAAAAATATTTGTAACAAGCTGTAACATTTTTCTGGGTATAACTCCCCTGTAACAAGAACTGAAGTTATTTTTAGCACAAAGTCAGAAATGACACCGAAGTGTGCCAGAAAGATTATTTTTATGCTTAAGTACCTCACAATTACAGTCACTATAAACACATTACCTCAAGCAGGTTTGATCAGAGGGGAAAGAGACATTCAGAGAAGACACAGTAAATAAATGTTTTACCAAGTTTGCCACTGAGTGCCACGTTTAGCAAAACATCAAATCCTTCAGGGGGTAACCCTCTTTGAAGGGCAATGCTTTCCACAGTAGTCAAGTGTTTCTGCAGAACATTGTCTTTTTTCAGTGAAACACGGTCTTGAACTAGGAAAAAAGATAACAAATACAAGGATGAAACAACTTCTGGACTGAAAATGAACTATTTCAAACTTCTCTGAGCTGTCCCTACATATATTCCTTTTCATTGGGTTCTTTACATAGTAACAGGAAGGAGAAAATCTTAAGACACTAAAAGAATTTTACAAAGCTCAGGCATTAAAGAGTGAAAACAGCAGGTAAGGGAGATATTTAGTATTACTGTTATTAAGAATTTAGTGATTAACTTTTCAATCCTAGGTAGCAAAACTTAACCTTACCTTTCCTTTAAACTTACCTTTCTCAAAGTAGCTCAAAGCTTGCTCAAGGGACTGCTGCTCACTGTCATTTTTCTGATCATTAGAATACTGATGATTCTGGATACTTTTTTCAGGGTCAGTTATCCCTCCTTTTCGCCACACAGAGAGGTCAGTTTGATTTTTAGGGAGAACTTGCAGAGGCTGCTTTGGGGTTTTAGAACTCCGTCTTCGCTGCATCTTTTCAAGCTCCCAGCTGAGACTGGAGAGATTTACTCATTTGTCATGCGGGTTCCAATTCTTCATTACAAAGAAGCAAGAAAATAAAATCAACATCCAGCAGCTGAAAACATCAGAGAGATGATTCCTTGCAAGAAAAGAAAAGTGTATTTTCCTGACAAACAGATTTTAGAGGGATGCTGCATAATGTAACAGAGTAACTTCAGGGGAAATCATTTAGAGCTATCTGCTACCAAGCAGATCTGACTATATACTCTGAAGATGTGCAGACAAGTTTATAAAAATTTCATTCTCTTTCATTAAAAAGGGAAAGAAAAAAATCACAAGTAAAAATTAACACACTCCTTTAAATTTAAAAAATGTCTGATCGAGTTTCATATAGTATTTTGAAACAAAATTTAACATGAGCAAAAAGATAAAACACAATTTCCCTGCATTTATTTTGTGCATTATCAGTTTCAATAGGTGCATTGTGTACACCAGTGTGATCAGTCAACAGGTCATGACTTCCTGCAAGGTAACGTACAGGTTTTGTAGGATCATAACAACACTTATTTTCCTGTTTTACAAAAATAAGATTTTTCTGCAGCCTTTCCACCTAGCAGTTAGGATTGCAAAAATATAACATTTTGGTAAACTCCCAAATGAAGCACAAGAACTACCAATACTGCAAAACCATCCAGCTCTCGCTGAAATGCAACCACTAGAAGTGGAATTTTCTCCTCAGTATGCTGGACATCACCTTTTTACCCACAAAATGTGAAATTTTGCTACAGTTTCCTGCACTGGTAGATCTTTTGCTTCCCAGTTTTCCTAACAGAAACCAGGATGATTTTTAATTCATACTCCCTCTACAGCTCCCACTTCCTTAGCATGTTACAATCATCCCTATTTTCCTATAGGCTTGTTTGTCACTAACTTCTCTGTGCACCATAGCAAGGACAAATCTCTGACTAGCTATGTCAAGACCCCTATGAAGCACACCCTGATATGCACACACAGGGCACCCCCATCTCCCATGCATGGTGGTGAACTAAGAACAAACATGATGTTTCAAAACAACAAAAATTACAGACAGTAGCTGGTAGGCAGCATACTGTTAGATTGACATGAGCTGGACTGGCATGTAAGGGTTCCATAAAACCCTTTCAGTGCTTTTCGTATCTTGAATCAACGGAGCATACAGTAAGCGGTTC